CCCCTTAGCTCCTATGACCAGCCTTTGTGGACTTAGTTGATCAAGTTTAAAGTGTCTCTTCTGGGATCCCTGGCTGGCGCAGCGGTTTGGTGCCTGCCTTTGGCTCAGGGCGCGATCCTGGAGACCTGGGATCGAATCCCATATCGGGCTCCCGGTGCATGGAGCCTGCTTCTCCCTCTGCCTATGTCTCTGCCTCTCTCTCTCTCTCTCTCTCTCTCTCTCTGTGTGACTATCATAAATAAATAAATTAAAAAAAAATTTAAAGTGTCTCCTCCCTCATCAGAGTCTAAGACAAGGCTAGGCCCATCTGAGGCATCCCTGCATCCAGGAAGCCTTCCTGGTCTTCTGCCTAAGGCAGGGCCACTGACACCTTATGTTGCACCATACCATCCGACGCTCCCCACCATGGTCATTTGCTCAGTGTCTGGCCTCCTCAATAAACTCTAGGCTCCATGAAAGCAAGGATGGGTTGTTTTGTTTACTATTCTATCCCCTGCCACCAGTACTGAAACAGAAGCGGCACGTACAAATCCTTTGAGTAGAGAATACAGAGAAGCAGGCTCCATGCAGGGAGCCCATCGTGGGACTCGATCCTGGGTCTCCAGGATCACACTCCAGGCTGCAGCCGGCGCTAAACCGCTGTGCCACCGAGGCTGCCCCTTTTGAGTAGTCTTTTATCATTTTTTTTAAAAAAGATTTTATTTATTTATTCATGAGAGACACAGAGAGAGAGAGGCAGAGGGAGAAGTGGGTTCCTCACAGGGAGCCTGATGCAGGACTCGATCCCCGGACCTGGAATCACGCTCTGAGTCAAAGGCAGATGCTCACCTGCTGAGCCACCCAGGTGTCCCATATTTTAACATTTTATTTTCATGATGATAAACGTACTCTTTAACCTCCGTCCCCTATTACCCCTTCACCTCACCTCACCTTTGATAACCACCAGTTTGCTCTCTATAATCAAGAGTCTGTTTCTTGGTTTTTCTTTCTCTTTTTTTTTGTTTATTATTTATTTATTTATTTATTTCTCATTTATTTTTGAAATTCCATATGAGTGAAATCATATGGTATTTGTCCTTCTCTAACAGATTTATTTCGCTTAGTATTATACTCTCTAGTTCCACCCATGTCATTGCAAATGGTAAGATTTATTCTTTTTTATGGCTGAATAATATTTCATTTTATATATATATATAATATATATAAAATATATATATATTCCATTATATATGGATATTATATATCTCGGGTCTCCAGGATCACTCCCTGGGCTGAAGATGGCGCTAAACCACTGAGCCACCCGGGCTGCCATATCCATTCAAGTAGACAGACACTTGGGCTGCTTCCATAGTGTGGCTAGAAATAATGCCACAATAAATGCAATAAATGCAATAAACATAAGGGTGCATGTATGCCTTTGAATTAGTGTTTTTATACATATTTTTTTATTTTTTTATTTAAAAAATTTTTTTGAATTTTTATTTATTTATGATAGTCACAGAGAGAGAAAGAGAGAGGCAGAGACATAGGCAGAGGGAGAAGCAGGCTCCATGCACCGGGAGCCCGATGTGGGATTCGATCCCAGGTCTCCAGGATCGCGCCCTGGGCCAAAGGCAGGCACCAAACCACTGCGCCACACAGGGATCCCTACATATATATATATTTTAAGACTTTATTTATTTATCCATAGAGAGAGAGAGAGAGAGGCAGAGGCACAGGCAGAGGGAGAAGTAGGCTCCATGCAGTGAGCCCGACATGGGACTTGATCCAGGGTCCCCAGGATCAAACCCCGGGCCAAAGGCGGCGCTAAACCGCTGCGCCACCGGGGCTAACCTAGTGTTTTTATATTTGGAGGGTAAATACCCAGTAGTGTGATCACTGGATCATTGGGTAGTTCTATTGTTAATTTTTTGAGGAACCTCCTTTTCCACAGTGGCTGCACCAGTGTGCATTCCCACCAATAGCACAAGGGGATTCCTTTTTCTCCACATCCTCACCAGCACCGGATTCTGAGAAGTCTTGGATGTTTAGGGTAGAACTGAGCACAAGTCTAGGATCTGCAGGGAACTAAACTGTTTTCTCAAAGACAACCAGCTGGTTAATCCTGACACTTCCTTAATACAGAATAGCAACCAGACACAATTGCTGCCACTTACTTGTTGAGCACCTACTACAGTCCAGGCATTTTACAAACATCATCTCCAATCTCTTCCCGCAAAACTCTGCTTGGAGTTTCCATATTCTTATCCATGTTGAATATATGAGAAGACAGAATCAGGAGACAAGTAACTTGGCAAAGCCACAAGCTAGCATTAAAGTATTTTCTCTTACATGATGTAAGGAAAGGCAATTATCTAGAAAGCTTTTCTCAGTCGCTGGAAGTTTTTTATTTTCTAGGAACATTTTGAAATGCTTAGCATGAATTTGTGATTCAATAAAGAGAGGGAATAAGAAGACAGGGTATTTCTGTGTGTTCTGTGTGTATAACCTGAAATCACATTCTGGTTCCATTTCCTACTTTTTCCACTTCTAAAACCAAGAGTATAGGGTTTCCTCATACTAATGAAGTAATAATGAATAAGAGCAGGAGACTTCTACTACACGGTAAAGAAAAACCAAATTCATATTGCAAGAAAAGAAACTAATCAAAAAGTCTGTTTTACGCCAGTAAACTAAAAATGGGGCAAGAAGGATTCTGATAAACAGGTGATCCTTAAAGGATTAGTGGCGACGAGAGATGAGCTGGCTGCATAGCCCTCACCTGTTCAGAATAGACAATCTTTCACCAAGAGAAGCACCTACCGTTCATCAGCTGGGTGTTGGGATCTCTATATTATTAAAGTTTTTAGACATAAAAAGACAAACAGAGACATAACAAATCCCATGGAAGCTGAGGATTTGGAGACTGAGGTTGTAAGGCTGACGCCTCAACTTGGATGAACCATCGCTGCTTCGCTATTAATTGATAAACTTGGCCCAGACTTCAACTCCTAAATCGCAGCTGCTTCATCTGTAACTGAAGAGTTACGCTGGCCTGCCCTCTCTTAAACTGAGCCTACTCTCATCAGCAAAAAATCACCTTCCTCATAGGTTCAAATAGGCTTGGGAAATTAAAGTTAAGGCAATTAGGACCGGAGAAATTGCTACAGCAGGAAAAAAAAGAGAGGAGAATAAAAGCAGGCTTTTCCTCCTGACTCTGAGAAAGGATCATGAGTCATGCGAATCCTCCAGGATCCCTAGAGGCCAATATTGTAGAATTGGGGTGCTCCTCAGGCATCACCTAGTACAGTCTCGTGGCCCTCGCAGGACCAAGCTGCCCCAAGTACAGACAGGAACTGGCACTTCTGGGCCCCTCTGAGCCTTTTCTATTTGCCAAACCACAACTCTCATTAATCAAGATGCCATAGGCTGCGTGTAACTTGAACCAAACTTTAAGATTTTATTAGAGAGGGGGGAGAGCACGAGGGGAGGAGAGTCTGTTGGCAGAATGGGATGGTAAGGAAGAGGGGCAAAGGGAGCAGACTGCTGAGCAGGGAGCTCCCCCTGGGGCTGGATCCCAGGACACCAGGGTTATGACCTGAACAGAATGCAGATGCTTAACCCACGGAGCCACACAGCACCCACCCCTGAGCCAAACTTCTTAACGCATAGAAAAAAGCTGGTGGCGAGGGACGCCCGGGTGGCTCAGCGCTTGAGCTTCTGCCTTCAGCCCAGGGTGTGATCCTGGAGTCCAGAGTCCCACATCAGGCTCCCTGCATGGGGCCTGCTTCTCCCTCTGCCTGTGTCTCTGCCTCTCTCTCCGATAAAAAAAAATAAAATCTTAAAAAAGAAAAGCAAAAAGCTGGCAGCGACAAGGCCAGTTTATTACATAGCGGTAATGTTGGAAGGTGGATTTACTGCTTTTCCTACTTTAAGTCCTTTTGTGTACTTAACCTCTCCGTATTCATTTCTCCATCTGTACCTGGTTAGGATAATTAGAGCACTTAAAACCAGGTCTGGCACCGTCTTTAGTGAATGCCAGCCATCGTGACCTCTCCTGAAAATTTCTACCAAGAATGTGTATCCTTTGTATTACGAGAAATATATTTTTTTAAGATTTATTTTATTCATGAGAGAGAGACACACACACAGAGGGGCAGAGACACAGGCAGAGGGAGAAGCAGGCTCCTTGCAGGGAGCCCGACGCGGGACTCGATCCCGGGTCCCCAGGGTCGCGCCCTGGGCCGAAGGCGGCGCTAAGCCACTGAGCCACCCGAGCTGCTGGAGAAATACTTTTCTAAGGCTGTATTGATTACCGTGTTTAACAAACATCCCTGAACAGGAAAACAAACAAATAAACCCCTTTCCTGCATCCGCGTTCTCCCTCCTTTCCCAAACCCACATTCCCGATCTGAACAGCAAGTTGCAAACTGTTGCACCGGCTTGCGGACGGGTCTTTCCCCGTCGCCTTCTACAACTATTAAGGGCCGTACGGGCCAGCTCCCGCCCCGGAGCGCGCGGCCCCCCGCGCACGGGGAGAGAAGCAGCTCCGGGCTCTGCCATCAGCGCGCGCGAGGGGAAGAGGGGGCGCCCGGCCCTCCCCGCGGCGGCCACCAGCTCGGCGCCTGCGCGCTGCGCGCCCGCTCCGCCCCACCGCGGCCGGCGAGGCCGTTACGACCGTTGAGGGAGGGGAGAGAGGGGAGGGGAAGGAAGGGAAGGGAGGGGAGGGGAGGGGAAGGGGCGCCGCACAGCGCCCCACGCGGCCCGAGCGCGCTGTTCCGGCGAGCCCGGCTCCAGCCCCGGGAGTCCGCTCCAGGCCGCTCCGGACCACTACCCGCTCCGGAGGCGCCGGCCGCGCTCCGTGCTTTCCCTCCAGCCCTTTGTGTCCCGGCGCGCGTCGGGGGGAACGCGGGAACGCGCGCCGTGCTGTGCGCCTGCGCGAGGGGGCGGGACGGCGCGCCCCGCCGGGAGCCGGGAGTGGGCGCTGCTCCGCGCCGACCCGTCCCGCCCCGCCCCCAACCGCCATTTCGTGCTCCGGCGCGCGGGGCCTCCGCATGATGGACGCCCGGAAGCCGAGACAACAAAGGCCGGCGCGCTAGGGCCGCGCGGCCTGCGGATCTTTACGGTGCTCGCAGGGCGAAGATGGCGCCCAGGCGCGGAAGCTGTGCCCGAGTGTGGGGAGACGTGGGCGCGTCTACCTGCGAGCGGGCCCGGCCGCCGTCCCGGGGCGGGGAGGGGCACGCACGGCCTCGTGTGCGCACAGCGCTGGGGTGTTCACCTCCCCGTGTGTGCACAGCCTCGGTATCCCCAGACTTGCGTGTGCACCATCCAGTCGCACGAACCGGTGGGTTTCCACGTCCAGTGCGCATGATCCCGAGTATGCTTCCACCCGAGTGTGCGCACAGCTGTGTTGGCGCCGACTGGCCGTCTACACAGGCTCCTGTGTACGGACACGTGTTCGCACGAACCCTAAATGTGCAGAGGAGCGTGGATTCATGAACCTGGCGAATGCACCAACCTGTGTTTGCCCTGGGGGGTGTGCAGACCCACCAGTGTTGCAGACCCACGAGTGCAAGCTCAGCCTCCCGCAGCCTGGAGCACCCGCGAAAACTTACCACGTTTCTGGCCTGTTTTGGAATTTTGCCTTTGCTGAGTTTACATGCAAAGCATAACCACCGCCTGCTACTCTATGCTATTCTTAACCTCTCCTCTCTTCTTTTCTCCCAGCTCATTGGACTCCTGCTGAGGCCCCCACTTTGCAATGGGGTCACGCAATGACAGTGAGGGGCAGGCGATGAGAGAAACAAAGAAAAGAGCAGTAAAGGGCAACACGAGGAAGCTGGGAAGGAGGCCCCTGGCCCGCTACAGTAAGAAAAGCCTCCTGGAGGAAGCCAAGCGCCATGGCCAGGGCCTGGCTACAGATGGAATCGGGGGGTCAAGCCCCAGTTTCTGCTCAGGCCTGAGAACTTTGTTCGACGGGACATTCAAACAGGAGATGACACCAAATTCGTGTCTGAGAGGATGGGGTTGAAGCACAAGAGGCCTAGGGGGTAATAGAGCGGGGACAGGCTCAGCAGAGAAGTGGCCTCCCCAGGGAGGGAATGGGGTAGAAAAGCAGGATGGGGGACTATGGTCTCCCCTCCTATGTACACGTCCTGCTGTTTCCAGTTCTTCTGTGTTGAGCACACTCCTCGGAGAGACAAACACTCAGGCCTCAGCACTGACCTTTACTGGCTGGGTGCCTGGCAGGCACCTAAGTCAGCAGAGATGGAGGGAGATACTGCCTGCAGAATACTGCAGGCACAGGGGAAGTAGTCCTTAAACATGGATGTGAGCATTTATGCTGGAGTGACTTTTAAAGTTCCCTAGTCTGCCGTCCTTGTCCAGATAAAGTACCATCTCTTGGTGGACCTCTCATATGGTTATGAATGTTTTCTTGTTCCGCTCACTATTCCTAGGTACACCTTAAGGGCATGAAAATACATCACCTCGGGACACCTGGGGTGCTTTCAGCTAAGGATGTGATCCTGGATCGAGTCCCACATCGGGCTCCCTGCATGGAGCCTGCTTCTCCCTCTGCCTATGTCTCTGCTTCTCTCTGTGTGTCTCTCATGAATAAATAAAGAAAAAAAAAAAACATCACCTCTAACATACCTCCGCATTCCGGTTGAGAACCCCTCTACAACTCCCAATATGTGATCATTGTACCCCCATCTGAATGCGTCTCATGATGGAGAATGGGCCACATCAGAGGACGGACTTTTCGGTGAAGCATGTAAAATTTACCTTTATGAGGCCCAGATATTTGTGATCTGAAATGAAGGCTTTTTATTAGGCCACCCAAAAGATACTTTCTTTGCACATGCCTGTTAGGCCTGTGTTAAAGCTAGGCTTACAACAGTGAAGGGGAGCAAGATAAACTACCCCAATTTATGCCTCTTTAGCATACTGATTATTTTAGGCTGGTTATTTTTCGGAAATAGCAGATACAGGTGAAGCCAAACCGAGTAGAAGTTACCCTTTTTTTTTTTTTTTTTTATTTATTTATGATAGTCACAGAGAGAGAGAGAGAGGCAGAGACACAGGCAGAGGGAGAAGCAGGCTCCATGCACCAGGAGCCCGACGTGGGATTCGATCCCGGGTCTCCAGGATCGCGCCCTGGGCCAAAGGCAGGCGCCAAACCGCTGCCCCACCCAGGGATCCCGAAGTTACCCTTTTGTAAGAGACATTTACATACATTTATTTATTTATTTATTTATTTATTTATTTATTTATTTATTTATTTATTTATTTTTTGACATTTACATTTATAAAGGAAATCTCCATTTGTAAGGGTATCTCCCTCACTGTACCAGGAAGAGGAGGATGACTCTAAATCTGTGGAAACTCTTATCAAAGGAGAGGACAACAATTTAAATCTGTACAACCTTAACACTTGTTTATTGTGCTTTGCTGGTAACCTCCCCTAATTGGCTCCCCACCCCAGCATCTTTTGTCTTTAACTTAAAGTGATAGGCGATGGCTTTGGCCATTGGGGGACTTAGTTACTCATGTATACTCCCCCCCCCCAAAAAAAAAGGACTTGTTAAAAAAATATTTTATTTATTCATGAGAGACACAGAAAGAGAGAGGCAGAGGGAGGAGCAGGCTCCATGCAGGGAACCCGACACGGGACTCGATCCTGAGTCTCCAGGATTTCGCCCTGGGCTGAAGGCAGCGCTAAACCGTTGAGCCACCAGGGCTGCCCATTCATGTATACTTTTGTTCATTTTTTTTTCTGTTATTCTGTCTTATATCAATTTAATTATTAGGCCAGCCAAAGAACCTAGAAGGGAAGAAGGGAAAACTTTACCACCCCTGCAGGAGCCAAAGTTTCTGCCTCTAGGACCTTATCGATCCAAATCACAGGATGCCAGGTCCAAAGAGCAAATAGCTTCTTCACACTTGATATGATGCTGAAAGTCTACGCAGTGTGGATTACAGCCCCCTGGGCTGTCCCTGTGCATCCTGAATTAAACCTCTAGGGAGGGGGCGCCTGGCTGGCTCAGTTCGAGCCCCATGTTGGGTGAAAAGATTACTTAAAAATAAAATCTTTGGGGAAAAAAACTCCAGGGAGGTGTGGACTGGATGGGTGCACAACCACCCACCCCCAAACAGAGAGGAGTGACCTTGTCAAACCCAGCCTCCCTCTGCTACATGCGATAGATACACAGTTGTCCCAGTCCTGGGCATGGTCCATAGTCCTTGCTACTGGGGGTGGGGAGAACTGAGCACATGATTTGGAGCAGGAGGCACTTCATGCAGTTCCTCTGAAGGGGGCTTTGGGAATGGAGGATGCTCTGGGTTGCCTTTAGGGGTGGGGGTGATCCTGCTGAGCCCTCCTGGCAGCCAACTTCTAGGCAGCTCTGCCTGCCTAGGAGGTGGGGTCTTGGGGATAAATGGCTGTTGTACCAGTGTCACTCAGGCAGGGGTGACACCACCACTTTAATCCACTAGCAGGGCCACAGGCTGGCACTTCCGTCCTAGGAAACCAAGCCTGAGATCTGATCTCAATCAAATCTGTAACCTGAAAGTAGGTGAGGTGCTCCCACCCCCTCTCCTGCTCTGAGCAGGTTGTACTGGATCACTGCTTTGCATTTCACTTTTCCCACAGGCCAAGGATCTGGGTGATACTATTCTCCCGCCACGGCCCTTTCTTGGAGTATGCTTCAGAGTCCAGCTCCCCGACCCCAGCCCCTGAGCTGAGAGGTCCAGAACTGCCCCCTCCGAAGGCACGAGTCCTTGCCCAGGAAACACCTGGTGGGGAATTTCTCTAGCTCCCAAGAGTAAACCACAGAGACCTAGAAGGCACCACCCTTGGGCGGCTTCTTACCTCCCTGGGTCACATTTAAAAGAGGAGGGGTCCCTGGAGAAATGAGACCGTTTGCAGAAGAATAAATGCCACCTTGTGCCTGCCAACTTCTGCAGAGGTCTGTGGGCTTGTTCTGGGCCTGTGTAAATAAATTAATGGAAAAGTCCGGAAGGGAGGCAGTCCGCCTGAGCCTGACCTTGCGCGCCCAGCAGGCAGGTTATACACTGTGCCTTCCCTCCGGGGTGACTGGGAGTCGGGATGCCTCGGTCACAATGCAGAGAAGGAACACCTCGCTCTGGACGCCCCAAGAGGGACAGCTGGCCTGGGTGTGCCAGCTTCCAAAGGGCGGGAGGGACTTCATCAGGGAGACCATCCGTCCAGGCGGCCCCCAGGGTCTGAGATGGCCAAGGCGGGATCCCGTCCGCCCCCTCCCCCGCAGGGCAGCCCGTGTCCCCAACGTGGGCCGGGGCGCGGGGGCGGCAGAAGGTTTCCGGCCGGTCCCACCCAGCCGACCGGCCGGGGCGGGGACCCACCCCCCGCGGGCCTCCCCAGCCCAGCCTGGTCCCGGGTCTGGAGGCGGGCTGGAGGCAGGGGGGGGCGGGGGGAGCAGGAGGGAGGCAGGGGGGAGGCGGGGGGGGGGAGGCAGAGGGGAGGCGGGGGGGGGAGCAGGAGGGAGGCGGGGGGGGGAGGCAGAGGGGAGGCGGGGGGGGCGGGGGGGAGCAGGAGGGAGGCGGGGTGGAGGCGGGGGGGGGGGGGGGGGGGAGGCAGGGGGGAGGCGGGAGCGAGCGGGCCGCTGCCCGGAGGCCGCGCCGCCCCGGCGCAAACATTTCCTTATGTGGTGGCTCCGCGGGGCCGGGGCGGCGCCGGGGGCTGCGGGGACGGCGGCCACGCCCGGGGCCTCGCGGCCACCCTGGCCCTCGGCTGGGCCGCCGCGCCGCGCCGCGCCTGCGGGACGAGACCAAGAGGGGAGGCCCCCGCCCCGCGTGTCCCCCGCAGCGCGTCCCTCGTTCCCCTGAAGGAGGAACAGACCCTGTGGCGCCCCGACTTGGCCCGCGCTTGTGGGGGCTCCCGGGTCCGGACGAAGAGGGGGCGCGGGGTCCCGTCCCCCGGCCCGCCACCTCCCTGCCCCTCCCCGGCGCAGCCGCCCAGCGCCGCAGCCTCCTTGGCCTTGGGAGCTATATTTGGGGGTGGAGGGATAGCGGGGTGACGGCGGAGGGAAGGCCCAGGGCTGGAGCGGCGAGCGCCTCACTGGAAATGTCGCGGCTCTCGGCTCCCCGTCCCGCTCCCTGTCCCGCCAGGCGGGCTCCAGGCTCCAGGCTCCAGGCTCCAGGCTCCAGGCTGCAGGCTCCAGGCTGCACGCTGCAGCCCTCCCGAGAGAGCTCGGCCTCAAAACTTGGAGCCCGCGGCTGCCTTCCTGCGGCCAGGGCGTCCCGAGCCTGAGGAGCGCGCCCCGGCTCCGACACCCCAACCCCCACCCCCACCCCAGCTTCGCAGGTGTCTGCTCCGACCCCCCACACCGTCCTGGGGCCTCAGGCCGGTCTCCTTGCCAATTACAGCCTTTGAGCAAACTTCCATAGCTGATAGGGCAGGTTCCCTATGGGATCTTTATTAAGTGGGGCTTTTAGCAAGAAGTTTGCCACCCTAGTGAATCTCTAATTGGTCTAATTTCAGAGAGTATAATTCGAGGCTGCATCTGAGAGATAATCCTGGTCTGGGAGGCCTTTGCTTGCAGCACCCCACCCCACCCCCCTTACCGGGCTGAAGGAGAAGAAACTGCTTGGCTCTGGGCCCTCCCTGCCGGCTTCCCCGTGACTCCCATCCCTCCTCCTGCAGCCCCAAGATTCTTGGCTCCCTGGGGTCTGTCCCTGAGTCACGGGGTACTCATGCCCAAGCTGCCTTCCCTGGCCCTCCCTGCCCTTTCTACCCAACACCAGAAAGTCATTTCTAGGGGCCCCTGGGTGGCTCAGTCAGTTGTCTGCCTTTGACTCAGGTCATGATCTCAGGGTCCTGAGATCAAGCCCACCTTCACTGGGTTTCCTGGGGGGAGTGGAAGGGAGTCTGCTCCCCCCCCCGCCCCCCCTCTCAGGCTATCTCACTCTCATAAATAAAATCTTTAAAAAAATAATTTCCAGCCTCAGAGTCCCCCTCAGCCCCAGCCCACTCACCCATCCTTGTTCAGTGGGACAGTCCCCCAGTTAGAGAACCACTCTTCTATAGGATACAAGGTTCCAGAACCTGAAGTAAAGAATCCTGTCGGGGGGTGGGGGGGTGGGCAGGGACACCTGGCTGGCTTGGTCAGTGGAGCATGCAACTCTTGATCTCAGGGTTATGAGTTTGAGTCCCACATTGGGTGTAGAGATTACTTAAAAATAAAATATTAAGGGACACCTGGGTGGCTCGGCAGTTGAGCATCTGCCTTCGGCTCAGGGCGTGATCCCAGAGTTCTGGGATCAAGTTCTGCATCAGGCTGCCCACAAGGAGCCTGCTCCTCCCTCTGCCTGTGTCTCTGCCTCTCTCTCTGTCTCTGTGTCTCTCATGAATAAATAAATAAAATCTTTTAAAAATAAAAAATTAAAAAAAAGAATCCTGTGAGTAAAAGGACAATGGCCATCCTTGCCAGGTGGAGAGACCTCAAGGAATCTGGAGAAGGGAGATGGGGAAAAGCAGGAGACACTTAAAAGCAGGAGACACTGTAACCCATATGCTGGTAAAATGGCCAAATCTTTGAGTATGAAGGGCTCTTGGTGGTCTTCTCTGTCACCTCAACCACCTAAAGCAGACATCTCCCCGACTGCATTTCTGGATTACTTCCAGGGACAGGGAAGGCACTTCTTTTATTTTATTTTATTTTATTTATTTATTATAGTTACACACACAGAGAGAGAGAGAGGCAGAGACACAGGCAGAGGGAGAAGCAGGCTCCATGCAGGGAGCCCGACGTGGGATTCGATCCCGGCTCTTCAGGATCATGCCCTGGGCCAAAGGCAGGCGCCAAACCGCTGCGCCACCCAGGGATCCCTGGGAAGGCACTTCTTCAATGAGTTCTGTCTTACATAGATTTGAAATTCTTCTTTAAGATTTTATTTATTTATTTGACACGGAGAGAGAGCACAAGTAGGCTGAGGGGAGGGCAGAGGGAGAGGGAGAAGCACACTTCCCGCTGAGCAGGGAGCTGGATGCGAAGCTCGATCCCAGGACCCTGAGATCATGACCTGAGCTGAAGGCAGATGCTTAACCCACAAGCCACCCAGGCACCCTTGAAATCTGTCTTCTTTCATGTCCATCTCATGGTCCTCGTCTGTTCATGTGTTCTGTGAAGGCAGGGTCCCAGGCTCCCAGGAGCACAGTGGTGTTCAGTGACTATGTTGTCGGAATGAATGATGAAATAACACTGAAGGTTTGCCAGAGTATCATCCATTCTGGGCTAAGCCACACCAACTTCTCCCATCATTCCATATATGACACTGTTTCCAGAACAGTCTTCATCCTTCCCACCTGGCTCTGTAGTCACCATGTTTCTTCTAAGCAATAGTGTGCTCTGTGCAACTACCCTGTGTGGACTGACCCTGGGGCTGCATCTCTCTCAGAAGTTGGTTCTTTGTGTAGCACAACTGGCACTTTTTTTTTAAAGATTATTTTATTTTTTAAAGATTTATTTATTTATTTATTTATTTATTTATTTATTTATTTATTTATTTATGATAAACATAGAGAGACAGAGAGAGAAGCAGAGACACAGGAGGAGGGAGAAGCAGGCTCCATGCTGGGAGCCCGACGTGGGACTCAATCCCAGGACTCCAGGATTGCGCCCTGGGCCAAGGCAGGCGCCAAACTGCTGAGCCACCTAGGGATCCCCAGTTTAATTTATTTTAATAGAGTGTGTGTGAGCATGGGCAGGAGGGGCAGAGGGAGAGGGAAAGAATCTCAAGCTGACTCCACGCTGAGCATGGAGCCCGACACAGGGCTCGATCCCAGGACTCTGAGATCACGACCTGTGCTGAAACCAAGAGTCTGGCACTTAACCTACTGCACCACCCAGGTGCCCCCACAGCTGGAACTTTAACTTTCACAATTTTAGCAAAGGGGAGGACTCTTTGCTACTACATAAGACAATAATGTCCTGTCCTGGGATGGACCTTTGGTGCCAGCTGGCATCTTAGGAGGCTGGGCTGGGCAACGGGTAGCCTGAGTCCTCCTGGGCTATACCTGCTTATGGGGTCAAGACCCTGATCGTGGGCAAAGAAGATGCTGGAATACGCCCTTTGCTCAGCAAGCAAAACCTGGCTTTGGAGCTCTCACCAAGTCCCCAAGCTAAGACTAGTAATTGGCAGGTCCCTGACCATGGTTGTTGGAGCCCCATAAGGCCCTAGGGCTCCTGGATTCTGCCGGTCAGCTTTGCCCTCCCACAAAGCTGCATGGGTGCAGAGTAGCTGTGAATAGTGTGGGTTACCGTGTTGGTTGGCTGACTCCTGGATGGCTTGGGAGGCAGGGAGCCATCCCAGGCAGTGTCACTTTGGACACCTTGGACACACTTTGGACACCTGTCACCCCCCACTTCCCCTCTGCAGTTTGGGGCCAGGGCAAACTCACACCTCTTGCCATCAGTTCATGGATCTGATGATGGGGGGTGAGAGGAGGCTGGGGCCCTGAGGCTGACTCGGGTTTGCCGAGAATCTAGCTGGAATCAGGCCTGGCCTCAACTTCCAGACCAAATGCAGGTAGGAGGTGAAGTCCACCAAGTTCCCCCTGGGGAAGGACCAAGGGCTGCTGCCCAGAGAGGTTTTCCTCCCCTGGAGGGACTTTGTGCTACACGGAGTGCCCACCCTCCAAGATGACCTGCAGGCCTCATTCCAGATGGTCAGAGCCAGTGGTGCAGTGGTGGGAACTCAGGCAGGGCCAGGCCAGTGGAGGAGGGGCAGGCCATGGGGGATCCTGGTGTACCCCACCACTGCAGGATTATTGTGACAGAGAGGAAACCCCAGAAATCAACAGGATCAGTGCAAGACCATAGAAAGGGGGATCCCTGGGTGGCGCAGCGGTTTGGCGCCTGCCTTTGGCCCAGGGCGCGATCCTGGAGACCCGGGATCGAATCCCACATCGGGCTCCCGGTGCATGGAGCCTGCTTCTCCCTCTACCTGTGTCTCTGCCTCTCTCTCTCTCTGTGTGACTATCATAAAATAAATTTAAAAAAAATTAAAAAAAAAAGACCATAGAAAGAATAATTCCCCCAAACTGAGAAGGAAAGTGCAGGAAAGTCCCGTGTGATGGTGACTTTCCTGGTCACGGAGTACTGCAGGCTCTCAGCTCTGTCCTGGCCGAGGGCTTCGGGGCACTGGCTCTGTCTTGCTCCAGGGGGATACCAGCTTGGCCCCCATGCCCCAGAGCTCACCGGGGTGGCCCAGCTGTGCCAAGGAGAGCAGGACCCACACCCAGACCCCACCCTCACCCTCACATTCCCTGCCCTCCACCCAGCTGTGGCACACACCTTCACTCTATCCCCACCTACATGCTCAGGCTCAGAGTCTCGGGTCCTGCCCCAAGTCTTGGAGAGCCTGAGACAGCCTCCTGAACCCCCTTGTGGTCTGTCTACGGGTCTGAGGCAGGCTGCATGTGTAGGGAAAGAGCCCGGGCTGGGTTCCCAGGGGGCAGGGGTGAGGTCCCACTCTGAACCTAGCTGGCTGGATGACCTTGGGCAGCTCCCTGTGCCCATTGGCCCTCAGTTGGTCCTCAGATCCCAGCTTTGGGGGCCCACAGGTAATTGTTCTGATTCTCAGAGAGTAGACCACAGGAGCCTTTCCTAGGTGGGAAAGAACAGCAGGGAGGAGGTCAAGGCCAGAGCTTGGGCGTGAAATGCAAAGGAGAACTCAATATGTAAATCAGTCAGTGTTTGTTCCTTCTCTTCAGACAAGGCCCAATGAGACCCAGATGCTCCCAAGAATGCCTGTGGCCTGGCCCCTGGGTGTCCCCACAGAGAGGGGCAGGCCGGGCACCTGGGGGGCACAGTGACATTCACGTGCTGGGGACAGGGCCCTGGCTGGAAGCCAGCCTTCCTCTGCCTGAGCCCTGGGCCCCTGACAAAGGCACAGCACTCTGCCCCTCTGCCATCACTTGTCCCATAGACTATTGGTGGCATCTACCCAGGCTCAGGGGGGAAATGTCTTTCAGTCCAGGGCTAAGTTGGCCCAGTGGGTCTGGTGGCTGATATGACTGAGAAGCTGACTGGCACCCATTATAACAGGGACAGTTGTGGCTTTGGCCGGGCAGGGGTCTCTGTGGGTCAGGCCCCTGAGGCTCTTTCTTGTAGGAAGCACCTTAGGATGTCAAGCTTGGGATGTTGAGCTTGGGATGCTGCAGCAAAGGGTGGCAGGT